GGGGTGAATACATCTCATATTATATATATTTGGTCTGACCTTGTTTACACAAGGGCAATTTCAAAGAACGGCATCTTTTTTCATTTCGTTTGAGAAAGCGGGTGTAATGGATTCGTAGATTGGCGTCACTGGTTACCGAAGTAGGGTTGCCTTGTACTTTTGTCTGTTGAATTGCGCAAAGAAGACCTCGGCTCATCTTCCTACCACCCCGATGACTTCGTGTTGAGCTTTCGTCCGTAATGGGACGGACATCGGCAGAGCCATAAACCATTATTCACGAGCAATCACCAGAAAACACTGTTCTTGGCTTATCGTTTTTTGGGGATTTTTCGTGAATAATGGTTTCTGGCTCTGACGATGTCCGTCACATTACGGACGAAAGCTCAACACGAAGTCATCGGGGTGGTAGGAAGATGAGCCAAGGTCTTCTTTGCGCAATTCAACGGACAAAAGTACACGGCAACCCTACTTCGGTAACCAGTGACGCCAATCTACGAATTCATTACACCCGCCTTCTCAAACGACCCTATTTTGTTTAATGGGATAGAGGACTGGTAGTAGAATTTTCCCACAATTATGTGAGTAGAGCCGACGTTTCCATTTTATTGTACATAGCCTTCCTTTCTCAAAAGTTGTTTTCACTCAGGCTGGACTGCAGCTTCGACCTCGCATCGGTCTTATCAACAACCCCCAGCGGGAGTCGAACTATGACCGAGTGCAGAATCTGAGCCACTCGGCCACATTGCCACGACTGCCCTTGGGCCACGGGGCAGATGTGAATTTCAAGGAAGGCCAAGCCTTTTGCCATGTCACATTCTTTGGTGGGATTGTCGATGAAGCAAGCGTATTGTTGCTATAACAATCGACAACGTTACTTATTTTTCGAGACTACCGGTAAAACAGTAATATGAGATGTATTCACCCTATTTCGTCCTTCATCACCTTAGACGAAATAGGGTGAATAATTATCATATTGTTTACATGCGAAAAACAAATATATATAAAAAATTTCAGGTTGCCGCTGTAGAACTGTGTAGAACAGTTTTGTTCTATGTCTGCGTCTAGATTGTTCATTTCCCTCCTCCTTCGCATTAATCTACAATTTCCTCTATCCGATTTGTCAGGCCGTTCCACATGCAAGCACAGGCCCCCATCAACTCTCCATTATACTCTTGTGTCGTCGACAGGGCGGCCAGCCTGTCCAAGCCTATCCGCCCATCCTCAATTCCATGAATCAAAAGACAGGACAGCCTGTAAATCTTTTTGTCGTAAAGTCAACTTGCCTCATAAATCATCACCGGCCGGATGCTGTAGAAGGACAGAAGGACTGGTCGTTCTGGCAGATGACGACTCACCGTTCGAACCAAACTGTTTACCGTCATTACCCTCCTGTTACCATGCCCTGGTCTATTCGCAATCACGTGGCTACTGGACGGACAACGCGAATTCGG